TGAAGCAAAAGAGGAAGCTATAGAGAGACAGACAGAGTACCAGAGAGTGAGAGGTAGAGCGGGAGAAAAAAATATCATCATTACTAGAAATGTCCTGCGGCGTCAATTTGCGAAAGCCGTTGGCATTGTGCCCTCTGGGCAGGAATCGAGCAAAGCTGAGTGTATCCAGGCAGGACCGGGACCCTCAGTCAGACACTTAAGTCTAATGGTTTTGTCAGCCACGCCTCAGCCAAAGGGGAGAGGCACACACACAGAGAGAGGGCCACACTGCACGCATACAAATTGACAATTTTATTAGCAACATAAATTAGTAAAAATAATCAATAAGCAATGTGCCAAAAAGCATTCGGAAAAAATTGAAATGGGCGAATAAATTCAATTTATATGCCGCAATTGCTGCCACTAAGTGCGATGTGATATTTGTGAGATTTGCAAGTGTGTGTCTGTGTGTGTGTGTGTGTGCTTGGCAATTAGATCGTTCAAATGTCCTCCGGGTTGAGCCAAACACCAGACGCATTTCCGTTAATCTCGTGTCTTTGGCCTGCAGGACTCCACTAACTGGCTCTAATTGCTTAATTTGCGCGCATTTCAGCATTTGAGCGTAACATTTTGGAGGTAGCTTTACCCTGGGGTGGGATGGGGGTCAGAGAAGGGGGGTGTGGATAGTGGGGCTGGGAAGGTCCTTGGAGCTTTGCATTGATGCAATGCAGTTTGCAACTATTTTGCAGCTGCAAAAAGAACAACAAAGTTTTTGCATTCAACTCTCGCTGATCCATTCAATTGGCGCACTAATTAGCTGCGTTTTCGGGAAAACTGTTTGTTTAATTGAAAATTAAGCAAAGTTTTTCGCTTAATTCACAAAAGTTATCAGACATTTGTTGGCCAGTGTTTATTTGCTGTTAACTATGAAATTTAAGTGTTTTTTTTTTATTTATTTTTTTATTTATAGCAGTACAGCAGCAGATTCCTGATTATAATTGGGCAGTGTCTATTTGCTGCTGGCTACTAAATTTTTAGTGATAACTATTTAATTAATTGTAGTTAATCGTTTATTTATTTACTGTTAACTATCGAATTGTTCGAATTTTTATTTATTTACTGTTAACTATAGAGTAATATTAATAATATTTAATAATATATATTTATTTATTAATTTTTAATTTTTTATTTATTTATTTTTAGCATTTTTAATGATAATTATTTAATTTCTTTGATTATTTTTTACTATTTATTATTTATTTATTATTTATTTATTTACTAATGGTTCGCACCTTTTATGATAAATATTTAATTATTTATATATTTTCTATTAACTATAGAATTGTTAGAATATTTAATATAATATACATATTTGTAAGTAAATAAAAAAATAACTAAAAATAATTAGTTAAGTTATTAATTTTATAAAAATGTAATAGCTATCATCAAATGAATAAATAATTAAAAATAAAAAAAAATAAATATATATCTATTATTAAATAATCCAAAAACTCTATAGTTAATAGTAAAAAATAAAAATATTAATTTCTTTTTTAAATATGTATGTATATATAAATTTATATTCAAGCAAAAAAGTTTAATTCATAAATTAACCAATATATGCCGTACTCCTAAATGACAATAGATTTAAAACACTTTTGTATACCGACATTTTATTAAAAACAAAGTGTTCCATATAAATTGCAAAATTAGTTTACATCAAGTAACTTTGGCCCTGTTAAATCACATAATTTTATCTTAGCTTTATCATACGATAGAAATAGATCTCTCTTGGCCAATTTAAAATGAAAAACTGCCTTCAAAACTTCATTCGTGCCTCGTTTCATTAGCTGCTTAACATTTCCTGCTCACTTGAACTCAAGTAGGACTCATTTCTAGTATCTCGCTCTGGCGCGCGCTTTCGCAATGTCTTCAAATGAATGCAAATTTAGAGCTGGCCTTTGGCCAAGTTGAAAAGAACTAAACAGCTTCACACTTAAATGTCCGGAAATGAAATACAAGCAAAGCGACAAACAGGGCGGCAAATGGATTTCAAGGGCCAAGTGGGTGACCTCTTATCTCTCTCTCTCTCTCTCTCTCTCTATTTCTCTATTTCCCTCTCCGTCTCGCTATCTTTCGGTCGTCGCACACAAATTGCTGTCAAACTTAACTGAAATTAGAACGTGATTAGATTTCATTTAAGCATTAAGCACAACTGACAGCCAGCATGACAGCTTAATTGGGGTATGATGCAGCATTGAAGCTGGAGATGTTCGCTACTTGAAAATGATATTTTGAGAACGCAAATTTATTGACAATTAGCTAGAAAGAGACAGATATAATAGAGAGATATGGAAAGGGAACGATATGAATTGGTCATAGTCTATAGAGAAACTGAGCTTCACATTAATTATAACGTGTATAATTAACAAATCTCGACTCGATGCCAACGAAAGGAGGCGCACACACACACACACACACACACACACACACACACACAAACACCCTCCCATACGCACACATAGTTATCTAGATAAGTAAGCGTTTAATCAGAGCATAGAAGAGCAGCTAAAGATAGTTGGAGCTGGGAACTGGGGGCATTGCTCGGTCAGGCGTATTAATTAAAGCTCACAATGTCGAATTGGGTCGCTGTCCACGCAACTAGAAGTTATTAGTTGAGCGCGTATAGATAAAGCTGCTGCTGCTGCTCCTCCTGCTCCTGCTGCTCTTCAGTCCAATTTACGGCATTAATGGATGCCCAGAAGTAGCATGAAATTGTCTCATAATTGACCGGGCTACTTAAGGCAACATATATACATATATATATATGTAAGATTCTCGTGCTATATACGATTATCGCGCGAACAGTTAGCCGAGCCGACTTGGCTGTCAGTCACAGTTATGCGCAACACCTATGTCAAAGCTCACAGGGCTAAGTAAACAAAAGGAGCAAAAAAAGGAGAAAAAATAAAAACAATTTGCTGGGACACAACAGACAACACGTCACGTAATACGCAACCAAACAACAACAGAAGAAGAAGAGAGCAACACACGACAGCGAGTCAACTTAATCGCTGCAAAGTTAAACAAACACAAATAGATTAGTTCAATGCTCGCTCGATACGCGCTGCCGAAAGTCAAATTGTATCAGAGAAAGGCAAAGAGCGCAAAAGACAAGCACAAAGTAGAGCAGAACGCCAAAGCTGCAAAAACTATGTGTGTGTGGGTGTGTGTGTGTGTGTGTGTGTGAGTAGGTGTCACGTGAGAGCCAGCATACGACAAGCTAAACAAATTGCCTTTGAGCGAAATGTTTTGCGATTGACAATTGACGATTGCTTGCTGAGCTGACAGGAGTTGGTTAAGGCGATGCCGCCTTGAACTCTGATGGAAATAGATACCGTTGCTATAGCATATAGAATACTTTGTGTACAGCATACCTACACACTTTTGATATTTAGCATATTCAAGTACAACATTATTTCTATCAGTAATATAATAGTGAGTTATAAGCTAAGGTGATTTACCCCAAGTCATGATTTTCTTTGTGGATTCACATTTGCAATGCATGACCAATTTACTTAGTTATTTATTTTAGAAATTATTAATATTAATTTAATAAGCAGGGATCTTTTACAAATATGTTTTACATTTCCTTTAATTCAAAGACATCAAAGTCTTTTAAGTATTTCCTTCAAGTATTTTTTATATTTTCTGCAAGTATTTCCTTTAACTATTTCCTTTACGTATTTCCTCTAAATCATTCCTTTAAATATTTCCTCGTAGTACTTCTCCTAGGCCTTTAGTCCTTATAAATGTTCCTATCAATACTCCCTCCAAGTATTTCCTCTCAGCGTTCCTCTAATTAATTCTTCTGTGCTCCTCTAAGTCTTTAATGCATAGCTGCACAAACTTCCTTGCACTTTACTGCACTGCACGACTGATCTCCACTGACTGAAGAAAGTACTGCAGCTGCTGCTCTTTATATAGGGCGACTTTCACTCCACTCTCAAATGTTGAGTCCGACGTCAGGTAGGGGATCGTCGCAGTCGAACTTTTATTGCCCAATAGGAACGTTCTCTGCTGCTGCAAGCATTCTAGCTTCGTGTTACACAAATATAAATACCAAATGAACACTGCTGCATACATACAGACAACTGAATTTATCTTTTTTAGTTGGGCAGAGAGAGAGAGAGAGAGAGAGAGAGATAGACTAAGAGGAAGACAGGGAGATTGTTATACAGACAGACATATGTACGAACAGATATATAGGCAAACAAACACACATAGTTAAATAGATTTACCTCTTTACGCTGATGAAGAATATATTGTATGTATATGCTTGATAAGGCTGAACAGCTCAGGAACATTAATAATTTTCTGCTAATAATAGTTCTCTTAAGCCGCGAGCAGGTATTTGATATGCCATAGCTGGCTGTTACGACTCATGTTAAACACATTTACCGCATATAACCCATCATGCGGCAAATGATAAGCTTAACTACCCGTTCTCATTATCATTACGATCATCATCATCAGCATTATGATCATTAACTAGTCGAGGGAGTTTCGTTACTTTACATAAATAGGAATATACTTGACTGGGGCAAGCTAATTAGCTTACAGACATCGCAGCATTTCATTAAACAAATGGTCCCTGGTGTATAATTTTAATACGCAATTACAGCCAACTCAACGCTCTCACTCACTCGATTGCCTGATAGTAAGCTCCTAACCCCACTACGCCAGCAACCCACCTACACACCGACCCACCGACCCACCGACTGAGCTCCCTCTGATACTTGAGCGTAAGCCAAGGCAATAAATTTGATTTGATGCTCATTGCTCGCGCTGGTTGGTTACCTAAGCAATTCTCGGGTTGCCTCAAATGGGGAAAATGGGGGGAGGGCTTTAAATTATTTGATAATTTATGCGAAAATTATGTGACAATTGAGCGAAAAAGCGTGGCGAATCGAGCCACGGCTCAAGTTGCCCTAGTAACAAGCGTCTCCGTCGAGGGGGTCTTTAGGCTCAGGAATGCTTTTTATTGGAAACTCTTGCCGCCCAGCAACATCATCATCAATCAATTAGTTGCCATATCAAATAGACAGAGAGAAAGATATTAAACGAGACAGAGATTGAAGCAAATGCGGCGGCCTTAGATGTCATGCCAGACACCATACTCCGTCTCGCTGGGCATTATCAGATCGTCGAGTTCATTGACGATGCGTATCGGGAAGACGTACTTGAAGAACTCATAGAGCACATACAGAAATGTCTCCAGCATTGCGACACGCGCACAGATGACAATGTGACCAATACGATATGCTATAGTGCGGATGGAAGGAGCTGACCAGGGCCAGCTGCTGTGTGGGACAAAGTGTTGGGGTGCCCAGATAGAAGAATGATTTAGTCAGTGCTGCAAGGGAAGTTCAAGTTAGTTTGCGAGACTTAATACTCCTCCAACTCACCTGTCGCCAAATATCGTGCAATACTTTTAATTATTTTGAGAGCTGTGGGTTTGCTTTGATACTTAAATTTCATTTCAAAAACTGAATTCCCAACTTGAGCTGAGCTGCCAACGAAAACTCAACCACACAACACTAAACTCACAGCCTATGCATAGTTATTGTAGTTTATGATATTGACTCGAAGAAGTTTGCGCACTCTTGAAAACAATTTACTAACCGCACTCGTATTTCCAATTAAGGCCGCAAAACACGCAAAAATCTCAACCGCAGCGTCTCAATTACATCTCATTTAGCTGCTGCTAGTACCGCCCCCTGCGCATTCAGCTCGCATCTCTGCAGCAGACCACAAATTGTGTTGTCTGCATTATTAAAATGCTTGAATTCGTGCTTGCCTAGGCGACTGACTACGCAGACCACTTTGTACTTAGCTAATGAATTTTATCGGGCCTAATCAACGCCTTTCGACGGGGCTCTTAATTTGTGGGCAACGTGTCGAGCGCCATCTGGCGTCAACAGCCGTAAACAAAGTCGAATTGTCGCCAAGCACCCACAGCATTTTCGGCCCATCGATAAGCATAAATAACAAGAGTTGCTCTTTACATAAAATTCAATAAGTGTTTTGTGTGCATAGACAAGAATCGATATATTTATATTTACATTTTTTATATATTTTTATAAATGTCGGGAATTGTTATCTTTCGTGGACTGAACTTTATTGTAACTGGAGATATATGGCTTTGAAGCATCGTTGTTTAAAATTCTTACAAATTTCATATATTTAATTTTTTGCCGAAAATATAATATAAATATATATATATATAATATAATTATATACACATAAATAAATATAAATTATTTAAATTATTTATTATTTATTATACTTGCTTTAGACTCTCTTATACTATACTACTATAAAAATTCAATAAAAACCTGTATAAAGTATTGTAAAATACAAATATTAAAAAATATATATCAATATATGTAAATACATCAAACTAAAATAGCATAAATGAAATTAGAAAAAATATTTAAAAACTAGAATGTTGAAATAAAAAAAAACTAGAATGTTAATCAAATTAATCAATTTGCACCGTTTTTAATGCCACGCCCGTAAATAGATATTACTTTCGCTTTATTGCACAATGTAAAATGTGAAATTGTCAAATGTGAAAATAGAAATTCATGACTATTATTACTGTAAATTGAATAAGAAGCACTTTCCACAATAGTATCAACGCATTCAAATGGAAAACAATATGAATAATAATTGTTCATTGTTATTCCCCATCATTTGAAAGATGTCAAATAACAGTAATTAGTATTTGTGCATTGTGCAATAATACTGCTGACAGTTTTAATAGCACTTCAGACTGCAGATATCGCTCACACTAGCGTTGCGCACTCACACGAGCTTACCAGTTCTAGCCGGCGCTTATGCAAGAGTCATTTATGGATGTGAAATTAAATATTAATTTGTGCGCACAAAATCTGTGGTTAAGCCGCGATTTATGCTGTAAAAATAAACCTACCTCCTGCTGGCCCATGCCAGCAACCCTTTCAAACGGTAATTAAGCGCCGCACGTTGAGCACCTGTGCACACGGCACAGCGCAGCTTAATGCAAAGTAACAGAAGTAACAAAAATACACACATTTTTTATCCGTATTTTCTGTTTCCTTTTTTCTTTGGTGTTTATATTGGTTTTACGTATTTGAATACGACATACGACGAAAATGTTGCATACTTTTAGGCTTGTGCATAATATTTACCGCAGACCGACAAAAAAAAAAAACATAAATAAATAAAACACATTTAAATTGCAATCAATCAAGGCCGTTGGGCGTGGCGCGGCTGTAATGCAAATTGAAATTAATTATAATGCATATATCAACATTTAAGTATGTGTTTATACACACACACACAGCTATATACACATATATACATTAAATTATTCTTATTTGTTGGGCATTTTTTAATCAACTTTGCTGATTTTTTATTGAATATTAATTTGCTGCTCTATACATATATTTATTTATTAATTTTTTTTTTTTTACTTTGACAACAACTGCAAAAAATCATTGTAAAACCTGCACTTGACCAGCTTCAAATGCTGCAATTTTATTTTTAATACATAATTATTTATAAACAATTTAATAAAAATCGCAATCAAATGAATTGTTACAAAATTTTGCTGCAAAATGTAAATTTCGCTACCGATTTGCAATTTAATTAAGCACGTTAAAAATGTCAGCTTTTATTGGTGTTTACTTTTGCTGTTGTTGTTGTTGTTGTTGTCGGCGCGAGTTTGTTGTTGTTTATTCAGTCGTATAGATTTAATGAGCAAATTATGCGGCCTGTAATTGGGTCGAGTTGAGGCAGAGCAAGAGCTAAATGTGATTAGGGTTCGGTATTCGAGTGTTGAAGGTGAGAGCTAAATTTGTTATCTAGGGAACTTTCAAATTGGCTGTGTGTGTGTGTGTGTGTGTGTGTATACATATAAATATGTGTGTGTATTAAATGCAATTTTCAACTCGAGACAGTTCAATTACAGCTGAAACTATTTATATTTGTTAAAATGTCTTGAAGTGTAACGTTTAAAATAAATTGAGTTTATGGTATAACCATAATTTATAAACATCCATTTTTTGAATTATGAATTAAACTTAAATTAAAAATTAAATTAGTAAATGAATAACTTATACAAAAATCAATTTAGCTTTTTAAACTATTTTATAATAATAGGACATATTTTTAAATTAACAATTTGATTTCATTTTAATTAAAATACATTCAAAAATATTTTATATTTTATTTGTGTTCTATTTTTGGTATAAAAAGAAGACGCCAATATTTTGGCATTTAGCAAAAATATATATATTCATTTCTAATTTATTTATATATTTATTATTATATATATTATATTACGTTATGTATATTATATATTATATTTTTTCATATTATAAATAAAAATATAATACATTTTTGCATGCAATAACAAACAATTTGCTAGCCAACTTCCTTTGTCAGCAATCATTTTATTTTTAAATGGAACTGCAGTTCGACTTTTCAACATTTTCCTGTACAGCGCATTTACGTATTATGCATATATTAATAATTTGTCTACAGCTCTGATAGCGACTGTTCGTATTGAAAGCGTCATAATTAAAAATTCCATTATCTGCTGTCCAAGCTAAAGACTTAACTGAAGTCTTGCTTGTTGCAACATCAACATCAACTTTCTCAATGGCCACTCAACGGCTCTGAAAGGCTGAGCTGCGCCTGTTAAGGGTCAGATCGGTGCAGCAGTCGCATCTTTCACAGACCGCACACTTTAACAATTATTGCCAACCACATGGACATGGACATGGACACGGACACGGACATGAACAGGGACATGGACACGGACACGGACACGGACACGGATGCGGCACATGAGCCAGGACATTCTGGGCTGCTTGTAATGTGCTCAATTTTTCGCATTTTGCACAGAGAAGGCGACGGGTGGAACGAGCGGCTGAGCGATTGCTGCGAGCAGCAAATGTGCTACTGTTGCTGCCGCCAGTTGCCAGTTGCCAGTTGCCACCTGCCAGCTGCCAACTACCAGCTACCAGCTACCAGCTGACACGTGCTACCTGCAAACTGCCAGCCATAATAATATTAAACAATACATATAAATCACTCAGCTGTCTGACAACGAGCGAAACGTCCCAGCAAGGCAAACGAGCACAAACTGTGCCGGAAAATGGCTGGGGAAATGGCAGTGACAGGCTGAAGGTTTTCATAAAAATTTACCGCCATAATGCTTATTTTAAAAGTCAATATGTTCGCTGCCTGTTATTTTAACACCCATCGTGTCCAGGTGCCAGCCGACCGACAATCGCTTCCTCATATCCTTTGTATGAGCCCAGGCAGCAGCAAAAAATGTCAACCCACAACAAACAACACACACAACAAGCTGAGCAAACAGAGCATAAAAAGCAAACTGAAGCAAGTCAACATTTTGCACTCAAATGCAATCGACTGCACAATACTCTGCTTGATGGGGAATAATGAATATTTAGATGAAGTACAAGAAAATTGGGTTTAAATTGAAATGCAAGTGCAGACAAATCTAAAGAAATAAAAATATGCAAGCAAATAGGATTTCTGAATGATAAAGATAAAGAGTTATAAAATTAAATATATAAAAAATATTTTTAATGTTATTTTTTTTAGGTTATTTTATTTTTTATATTAATATTTATTTATTGCAGCTTAAAATATAAAAAGAAATGAGAAGTAATGAATGAATATATATACATATATTAAAATTTTGAAATGATCAAATATTCTGAAGCTTTTTACGACCGACGAAAAATACAAAATTTGTTTCAAACTAAGTTAAGCTTTAATTAAAGAAAAAGTTCATTTATTATTATTATTATTTAAAAAAAATGTTTTTTCTTTATTTTCCATGAAAATTAATAAAAGCTGACTTCAACTTATTCAACTAAAAACTTTTTCAAAATATATTAAATTAAATTAAAACTTTTTATATTACTAGCAAAACCAAAAATATAAATTTTAGCTAGAGCATTTGTTTTTTGAAAATAATAAATGTGAGTAAATTTATTAAAAATTCATATAAAACTTGAAATTGCCAAACAATGCTCGGTGAAAAACTAAAACACTCTCTTTGTGCGCCAACTAACAGTGCAATGAAAAGCTCAAAAAGGGAAACAAGTGCCAGTGGCCCCGCAGCCATCTAAAGTTAAGCGACACATGTCACCTGGCCAAAGCCAAGTACAAAAGATGCGGGTGCTAGCTGCTGCTACCCGCTGCTGCTGCCCGCTGCCCGCTGCCCGCTGCCCGCTGCCCGCTGCCCGCTGCCCGCTGCCTCTGCTTCAACTTCAACTGCTGCTGTTTCTTGCTCACATCCTGCGCGCTGTCGTGCGCTTTATGTGACATGATTATGTGCAAAAGTGCAACAGGCAGACAGCAAGGCAGTCAGCCATTCAGCCATTCAGCCTGACCTACGCCCCCTTGCACACGCCCGCCAGC